AGAGTGTTTACTTTTGAGTGTAATGGAGATGACTCTAGGTGGTACATGGGATAAACATTTAGCCTACTTAAATGATCAAATACAGATACTTATTTTTATGTATATTAGAAAAATATGTTTTTTTCCAAATGTGAAAACAATCTAAAAACAAAAGAAATTTTAAAATATTTATGTGATATAGATAAAAAAAAAACTAAACTAAACAATTAAACAAATTGGGAGATTAGGATGGACATATATACACTACCATGTGTAAAATAGATAGCTAGTGGGAACCTGCTATAAAGCACAGGAAGCTCAGCTCGGTGCTCTGTGATGACCTAGATGGGTGGGATGGGGCCAATGCGAGGGAGGTTCAAGAGGGAGGGAATATATGTATACATACAGCTGATTTACTTCATTGTACAGCAGAAACTAACACAACATTGTAAAGCAATTATACGCCAATAAAAAAATAAAATGAAAAGAAAATAAAGTGACTTCTACAGACAAAAAGAAAATTAAATTAAAAGTAAAGGTGACATCTGGATATGGACAAAAATATTTAGGATGCTATCCAAATAGCTGAAGCTTGTCAAAATGCAGATTTATGGGCATCACACTGATACATTCTGATCCATTTGGCTGGGATGGAGCCAGGAACCTACACTTTTAACCAGGAAGTCAGGGGATTTTTGAGCTAAGTGGTGTAAGGCCCACATTTTGAGGAACATTGCTCCTAGTGTCTTAGTTATCTATAGCTGCATAACAAATTACCCCAAAACTTAGCATCATTGAAAAATATTAACAATTATTATCTTGCACAGTTTCTGTAGGTCGGGAATCCAAAAGCAGGTTATCTGGGTGGTTGTAGCTCAGGGTCTCTCATGAGGTTGCAGACAGATATCAGCCAGGGCTGCAGTCTCATATGAAGACTCGAATGAGACAGGAAGGTCCACTTTCAAGATGGCGGACTCACATGGTTGGTAAGTTGGTGATGACTGTTGGCAGGAGGCCTCAGTTCTTTGACAAAGAAGATCCTCCATAAGAAGATCCTCTCCATAAGAAGATCCTCTCCTGAGCATCTTCACAGCTAACATGGTCAGTGGCTTCTCCCAAAGTAAGTGGTCCAAGAGAAAGCAAAGTTGATGTGAGAATGTCTTTTATGACCTGGCCTTGAAATTTACATACTGTCCTTATCACAATAATCTTTTGGTTACACATGTCAGCCTTATTTGATGTGGGATATGAATCCAGGATATAAGGGTGTCTTTGGGGCATATCTTGGAGGCTGGCTACTACACTCAGCTGCCCTTCTGTATTGTTCCCCATGTTTGAAACTCTCAGAAAAGACAGTAGAGAAAAAACACAAGAGTCTCTGCCAGGAAATGGGGTGATTAGTTTAACTGATAGCAGAAGTCAATTCTGTTATCAATTAACTCTTCTGGGCCTCAGTTTCCTCACGAGTCAGATGAGCTGGGCTCTCATGGCCTCTTCAGTTAAGGTCCTTCCTGATTAGAAAAAGAAATAATTGTGACTTTTAAGATGTTATGATCAGATGTTCTGGGAAGCAATGGGCTAAAGTCTTACAAGGGCTTCTGTCTGAACAGGAGGAAGTGACTTTTAAGCTAATCTCATTCTTACTGGAAAATAAAAAAGAAATCCAGTCGCTGTTTGACAACATAAAAAGTAACATCAAATAGGAGGAGACATGCAAAAAACCATATCCAAGTTCTTGGAAACTTGCATGGGCTTGCTGATTTAAGAAAATGAATACATGTGAAATATGAACTGATCAACCATATAAATTAGGTAATAATTCCCACAATTACTTATTGTAAATCAATTATTTTTATAAAGGATTTATATTGAAGAGCCCCCAAGAAGGCTTAAATGTGGGTTTATTGTGAGGATCTGAGAGGTAAAGCAAGCTTAAAAGCTGATTTTAGGATCTCTCTGGAGATTGGAGATCAATCAGAAAAGGAGGGTTTGAGTTACAAAGGCTGCAACAATTCAGAACTACTGCATAAAGAAAGATAGACTTATATAGTCATCTCTTAAAAATGTTTCTAATTATGAGAGAAATAAATGATCATGGTAGAAACTCAGATAACATACAAAAGCATTCAGAAGAAAATAAAACTTACTACTAATCTACCACAAAGAGATAACCAGAGTTACCATTTTGGGGATATAGCTTTCCAGCCATTTTTTGATGCAGGGACACATACATAGACGTCTTCTTACAAATTTGGAATCGTATTTATCCTATTAGGTGCCTGTTTTTTCACTTTTCATGAGCTTCTAATGAGCATTTTTTACCAGAAGGAGTATCAATTTTGATGCTGTATTTCCCCTGTGTTTTGATGATGCTTTTCAAGTTTAAAATTTTAAATTATTTTTTGAATAATAATGCATGCACATGGCACAAAATTCTCAAAGGACAAAAGGTGGCCTCAGTCACACAGTTCCCTTACCAGAGGCCAGCAGTGTCCCCAGTTTCTTAATTATCTCTATATTTATAAACACTTAATCTTATTCTCACACAAATAATAGCATTCTCTTCCATTGCCCTGTACCTTACTGTTTTCCCTTAACAACACATCTTAGAATCTCCCTGATTAGTACACAAGAGCTGGTGCATTATTTTCATAGCACATAGTACTCCACTACACGGGATTACTATAATTTTTCTAGGTATTTAGATGCTTCTAGTCTTTTATTATTAGCAACAATGCTGCAATAAATATCTTTATTCTTATGTGTGTGTGATAAATATGTAGGTCACAGAGTATGCAGATTTGTCATTTTTGTAAATAGTCCAAATTGCCCAGGGTGAAGATGGCACCCATTTACTCTCCCACAGGGATGCCCAAGAGTGTCTGTTTCCCCATATACTTACCATCACTGTGTATTGTATTTTTCATGCTTTGTCAATCTGATGGGTGGAAAAAAATGTTTTCTGATTGGAGTTTTAATTTGCATTTCTTTCATTACCAAGTAAGGTGGAGCATCTTTTCAAAGGTGTAAGAACCAGTTATGCTTCCTTCCTAACTACCCCAGTTGGAATCAAGACCATGTGCCCAACTGGGTACTTGAAACCAACACAATGTGGAGTGCTGATCACAGTGTGGGGTAGTAATGGTCCTATCTTGATGGACTCAAGTCTGAGGCAGAAGTGTCCAGCCTAAGACACAGACCTTAGATCCACACAGATCTGCCTGACATCCTGTCTGGTCACAAACCAGTTGTGTGACCTTGGCCAAGTGATTTTACTTCTCTGGGCTTTCCTCTTCTGTGAAGTGGAGTTTTTTTTTAATACATTATGCTTTATGTACATGTAACACAACTTTCTAGCAAGTCATCTTTTTTTTAAATTAATTATTTGTTTTTATTTTTGGCTGTGTTGGGTCTTCATTGCTGTGCGTGGGCTTTCTCTAGTTGTGACGAGCGGGGGCTACTCTTTGTTGCAGTGCACAAGCCTCTCATTGCGGTGGCTTCTCTTGTTGTGGAGCACAGGGTCTAGGCACGCAGGCTTCAGTAGTTGTGGCACACGGGCTTAGTTGTTCCGCAGCATGTGGGATCTTCCTGGACCAGGGCTCGAACCCGTGTTCCCTGCATTGGCAGGCAGATTCTCAACGACTGCACCACCAGGGAAGCCCCTGAAGTGGAGATTTTAATAGAACCTACTTGGTGGGGTTGTTGAGAGGATGAAATAGGACAGTGCACGTACGTACTTAGCACAGGGATCTAGCCACTAGCAAGTGTCTGGCAAGCAGTTTCAATTATTATGTTTACAGCAAGGAAAGTGTGAAACCCAGTGTATGAGTCAGGATTCTCCATATTTCTCAATTTTAATTTTTAATAGTATAAGTATAGTTAGGTATAATCCACTTAAACAAAACTCTCTATAATTTATAAGTGTATAAAGGGGTCCTGAGACCAAAAACTCTGAGAACCACTGAGCTAGAACTTTGATTTCCTTACTAAAGCAGTTGCAACTACTTGCTCTGGAATTGGGGGAAGTGATTAAAAGGGAGGGCAAATCCTCTCTGGCTCCAGTGCTGTCCAGTGCAGTAGCTGCTGGCCACTTGTGGCTATAGAGTACATGAAAAACGGCTGGTTCAAATTGAGAGGTACTTAGTACAAAAGAAGAATGTAAATTATCTCATTAATAATTTTTCCATATAAATGACAATATTTTGGACACATTGGGTCAAGTAAAAGATTTTGATAAAATTAATTTTATCTCTTGTTTTTCACTTTAATGTGGCTACTAGAAAATTTAAAATGTTTACTTCCATATATTTCTATTGGACACTGCTATTCTGGAGACACACAGACTTGCCTGCCAATCTTGTTTCCACCACTCACAAGCTGTGTCAAAAGACTTTTTCTCTAAATTTCTTGTATTTCCTGGGATGTAAAAACTGTGAAGACTGAATATGAATAATGCATGTGACGTACTTAGCGATGCATTTAAGTAAACAATAAGTTTGATGGCTGTTATTATTAAAGGTCTCGGTTTCTCTATAGGTGTCGTCAGAGATGGGCCACATGCTCATTAAAGGCCCTTCCTCTGAGATCCATTTCCACTGCGACGACAATTGTAACTAACGGCGGCCAAGTTGTGATCCCGTTTTCAGGCGGGGGTCGCCCTCTTTACACCGAAAAATAAAAATGACCCAGGGTCCCTTCTGCAAATGGGATATGTGTAACTATGAACAGGGCCCGAGCAAAACTTGAAAACCAAGCGACCCCAGGCCGCACGGCCTCCCTTAGTAACCGACGCCGACGCCCGTGACTAAGGGGGAAAAGGAAAAACAAGGCGGTGGTCCGTCGACTCCAGTCCTCCGGCGAGAACCACTTCCGTTTCTTCCGGGAGCCCGTCCTTCTGTCTACCCTCCCCGGAGGAGCTGGGACTTTGGCCGCGGGTTCCGCCGTCTCGGGAGCCCCCGGAGCCCTGGGTCCGGCCGTGGAGATCGCGGCGGGGGTGGCGGCAGGCCTCCCGCGCAGCTGCGATGCTGAGCTGCCGGGCTGAGGCGGCGATGACCGCGGCCGACAGGGCCATCCAGCGCTTCCTGCGGACCGGGGCGGCCGTCAGGTGAGCTTTGGGGGGCGGGACGGCCGGGGAGGCCGGGACCAGAGGGACCAGGGTACCCAGGCTGGCCTGTGGCGGCCCTTTCACGCCCTAGTAAGGGTCCCCAGGGGCCGGAGTGAGCATTCCGGAGGTTTCTGCGTCCCGAAGTGTTGGAGGCCCAGGCCTTGGGGCGGGAAGGGCGACGGGCCTCCAGGGCCTCCAGGCAACGGCGATTCTGTCGGCACTCCCCAGTTGTGCTGGCGCTCCCAGTTTTATCAGTGCCCCCTCTACCCCCCTCCTCCGCCTGCCAGTGCCTCCTCTAATCCTGTCATTGTCCCCAGAATTTCCAGGGAGCCTCAGCCTTGTAAATGGCCCCCTCGAAGCTCTCAGCGCCTCGCAGGCCTTACCGGACCCCTTCATCCTTTCAAGATACCCCCAATCCTTCTGGGCTCCCTAGTCATGTCAGTACCTAGCCTGCTAGGGTTCCCCAGCCTGTCAAGCTCCCCAGTCCTGCCATGGTTCTCACAACCCTGTAAAGTGCCCCGGACTTGCTAGCGCCCCCCACCCGCACTTTGTCAGTACCTGTCTTCCTGTCACACCCCCACACACACTTTTGCCAGGGATCCCTTAGTCTGTATGGGTCCCTAATCTAATTAGTGGCTCCTTGTCTTGCAAGGGCACCTAAACCAATCAGGACCCCTTAACCTGTTAAGGCTCCCAGTCCTTTTAAGATCCCACATTCCTGC